CAGTGTTAACAGAAAAGATTAGGGATCAAAGACACAATTCAAGAAAATATAAATTAGTGAGATTAAAAATATTGTGATGAATTTAGAATCTCAGAATTTTGGAGGTGACAAAGAACGGATGCACCCACGCGATTGAAAATAACTCTGAGCCATATCATCCAAAGTCTCTAACTATTGATTGCGATGATCATGCCGATCCCAACCAGGTAGTCTACACCTATTAACAGGGTTAAGTCCAGCTGCCATTGACTTCATGGACTGATGACATATTTTGATTCGGACACCTTTCTCCTTCTTCTAGCCTGTTTTTACACCAAACAACATCGCCCGTTGAGATAACCGGTGGTTGCGCATACGTAACACAAGTACTAACTACCTCAGTTGAATATTTACTACCTCATCAACCGGCCTGCAATCCCTATTTAGTACCCTATTCCTAATCCAGGCATTGCTTACTCGGTGGTCCTAAAATACACGAGCAATGCTTCAAAGACACCTATGTTCAAATACTAGTAACCTGCGAATGTCTTTCACTATTAACAGCCAGGTTTCACATTCGTAAAATAGGACGGAGTGAGTTGTTGAGCAGTAAACCATGGGAATGCATCTCCCGACGTTGCTCCATTGCCTTGTGGACCAGACCTTTAGGCCCTCTAAGGAAACCACCTGCTTCGGTCTGGGCACCAGGGCAGTATCGCAGCCCACACAGAGATCAAGTGACTTGTGTGACGAATATATATTCAGTGCCCCTTTTTACTAATATTTATATGTTCAAATAAATGGGATAAGTTCCCGAGCATCTACCAGTTCAGGAGACGCAGCTGAAATACTTATTTTTACTAGTCCTTTGGTTTAAATTACTAGTAGATATCTCTGCCATTTCCAAAGCTTCTTGGATATCATGCCAAACTGCTATGAAGTGAGCATCACTTTCATGGTTGAATAACTCCTCCTTTAATTGTTCCTGAAGTATACTTAAGTCGAACTCAAAGGGAGTTTTTTTGCTGTGGTTTATCTGTGTCCAGTAAAACGCAGACAAATACGTGCTGCAGCTAAAGCATGATCCAAGTCTAAACATGTGCTCCAGAATGAGCGACAGTCTTCTATGGAAACAATTCAACGATGGTTGATGGCAATGTGGTCTATTTGAGTTTATCGATGGGTCGGTTGTCGGAATCACCACGTTTGACAATGTTTCTCATTATGTTTAGAGTTAGTATTTGCTAGAAATAGACGATTATCTGAGCACAGTTGCAATAGACACTCGCTATTATCTGTTCGCTCAGTCCTAACACCGTAAGTTACGCCAATAAGGCAACGGGGAGTAGTAGTGGGAGGATAACTCATGCCTGTTCTTTATATTGACGAGGTCAAATGAACGACCGTACCTGGATCGTATCTGAGCGTTTCGGAGACGCAACATATATCGATGGCACGGAATTCTAGAATCCTAGCTAAAAAGCTTGTTCTATCTGACAAGGTTTGAACATTGAAAGCTCCAACATTTAGTTTAGAGCGTGGTTTCAGAAGACTAAGAATAAAATTCGTAAAATTAAATTAGCAGCTGTGGCGTGTGGTGACAAAGATATACGACAAGGGTTATTCGTGGGGATAGAAGAGTTATTAAGAAGTGAGAGAAGGATTTGATCGTCATCAGCATCAGCAACATTTCTCCCGTCTGTAACCTTTGCTATCCAGCTTCGGTCCAATGGATTTAGCTGATCCTGAGTCCTGCCAGGTTGTATCTCCTCATTTCCGCAGCTATTTGACTGGTCCTCTCAGTCTGCCACTTTGTCCGAACATTCAATGTACCTATCAAAATTGTTGCTCTGGTTGCTAGAAGAGGCAAAATCCTCGTGACTTCCGAAGAATCTTGGCTTTCATAATGAGGCGTCACAATTCTTCCTTGAATTCGGAGGGCAGAGTTTAAAGGGTTTAGTTTGTTTATTCTGGTTAGTGTTGTTTTAGCAAGGTCATTTTCTACGGGATGGGGTCGCCAATCCCACGCCAAACCCTTCAACTTTATCCCGACTTGGAACCGGCAGTAGCCCTAGAGGAGCTATAGGCGTTTTTCTCATCAATGCTGTACTCATTTACAAAAAAAAGATTGACATTCAATAACAAAAAAGCTCACTTTAACTCTGTTTCATTCATATGATTCATCTTATAATTTAATAAACTTAGACTAACTATACCAAAAACTGCAGCGTACTTCCACGTTTTTTTTCTAGAAATTTAAAGTATGTTTGCATTTATTATTTTATCATAAAATTACTATCAAATTACAAGTATTGTAATAAGATAGCTCACATATACGTGTGCATGTTAATTCACAAATTCCAAATAAACTGTGTAGTTCTAGTTAACTGCATCATTATGCTAATTGGTAAATTGGAATTTGATCATTTTTATAAATCTATGTAACCTACATCTTTTAATTAACATTACCACATACCTGTGTAATACGAAGTTATATATTTTTTGTGCATGTGTGTTAAGTGTAGCACACAATTTGTACATATATTGACACACATCATGTGATACAACTGATTACACAATAGACCACCACTATACACGTGGACTAAAGTTTATATATAATGAATGAAAAAAGACATGTTGAGTCAATGAAAAGAGTTTAGTATTTCTGTTTTTTTTGCAAAAAAACGGGACGTATGTTTCTTTTGAAATAAGTTACAAATATAGAGACATTCTTTTAAAAAAAACTAATTTCTTATCCATTAAAACTCAATATGAAATACTATTGTAAAGATTGGTTAGTAAATGTTTCCATGATTCAGGATATTAAGATGCATAACTCCTTCTCGTTATGCTATACTCATAATCATCTCTATTGAGGATAATTATGTATACTCTCTTTATGAATTGTGTACTTAGTCAGTCAGACATAATCAGAGTAGATTTTAACACAAATATTTCACATCCAAAGTGACCATACCAACAACAGAGACAATGACAAGGATGTGTATTATCTCGTTTTCCAACTGTTTTCGGTTATCGTAAACATAATATGCAAATTAATTTACATTGGTGGTTTGAATCTTTGCATTGATGTTTCGGGCTGCAATTAATCAGTCTTTTATTGGCATATATGCACTCTGTGCGGATTGCCTCTGCATTACCATTAAGTTACAGGCATTATAAGCAGGGATAGATGGTGACTAGCAGTATAATCCAGGAAGCGCGTTTCGTCCAAGCTATGTAGAGAATGCAACGAAGTTTCAAACGAACAGGACTGGGTTTAAATCCCGGAGTTAACATCAACTATGGAACGGAGGTTCATTCAGCTGACGAACCTCTAACGGAACGAAACGTGTATCCTGGACTCCGCTGCCAACCACCGTCCATCTCTACGAACTAGTTATCCACTATGTGTATTATGTATATATATCGACAGAACGTTGTGTTTCGTTACACAAGTGACACAATAAAAACCAAGTGAATACCAGAGTAAACCTTAAGGGTAACAATTTTCGGTTTCTAATTTAGTTGCGGAGAAAGAAACTAGTTTTGTGTACAGCATCGTGAATAAATCACTTTGTTACATCTTTTTATTAGATTTGAACAACTAGTATGTTAATTGTATTTTTCTATAATTAAATATATAATAAATAATTTCTTCGTATATCTTATGACTAAAAGAAATTAACGTAAGTAGGATCTACTCATGGGGTGACCCCCTAAGGAAACCACCTGCTTCGATTTGGGCACCCAAGCAGTATTCCAGCCCTCACACAATTCGGATGGTTTGTGTAGTCTATATGTATTTGATACCTCCTTATACCAATGTTTGTATTTAAATAAATTAGTTACAAACAACATGGGGGCTGGAATGAATGTCAATCAGATTATATTGCATCACTTTGCATCAGAAAAGTGTAAAGAAAATCAATAAGGTGAGTCAAATAATAATAGTGAAAAGCTAGAAGCCAAGAACGCGGTCACAATTTAGCGAAGTTAGCGGGAGAATATATCTGCACCACTGTGTAAAATTTCGAGTAATGCCACTTTTTTTTATTTAATCTTAAGTCAAGGTTATCAAGTAGAATCCAACCAGAAAGTATGTACAATTTCCGATACGGCTCATTCAATGATTTTATGAATTGATAATCATGTCTCGATTTGAGCGAACCAAACGCTTTTCAAGCTTACGCTTGTACTAGACAATGTTGCATGTTAGGGTAAGTGATAGGCGGACATCTGTAACACTTATACCAGCCACTTACGAGAACGAATGGTTACAATCAACGTACAATTTTTGCCTAAAACCTTAGTATTAGTTATCCAGTTAGTCAATCGTATATGAGCAATAAGTCAAAGAGATCGATAACTGATAAATTCACAAGAAAGGTGTCGAACATTAAATAATTTCCCACTGAAGATGATATCAAAATGTAAACAGTTACGAAAATAACAGTAAAACATAAGTTTTATCACATTTACACAGTATTAGCAATGATGAGTACTGGAATAAATTAGTTTTATTGATCATTTGAAGATAAGGTAATGTTTCGTAAGTCAGTACAAACTCCCTTCATTTAATGAATTTATTTACCATCATTAAGACAACTAATTAAAACATTAGATTGAAATCTGTACATCAATCATGATAAATCGCTCGGTAGTCAATTCAGATAAGATCACTTAATCATTAGAAAAAAAACATTAAACAATAATGACCTTGTGGTTACATAATGTTGTTGACGTCATTTCTTATCAACTATTACTATTAGTTGTAAATAATAAAAATTCTTTCTATTTACCCACCTACACAATAACAGTGGGTTTGAAATTAAACTCTCTCTCTCTCTACATATATAACAACCTTAACGTTTTAACAAATTAATGAGGGTTTAATCAAATAATTTGTCATGATTGTTGAAGTCTTTTAACTTTCTACTTTTAGGACAATTAAATTAAAGTTCTGTTATTAATCTAATAAGTAATTGGATAATTAATAATGTTAGTTTTTTTTCTTTTTTAGTTGGATATTATCTACTAAAATCCAAATAATTTATCAATTGAATACATTAAGAAAATTTATAAATCAGTAACTATGCCTAAACTATGAGAAATTTGATATAATAAAAGTGAATTAATCTTATGATAAAATGAAAAAAGGTAACACTTTACAAATCGGTTCATGATCTCAATCAAAAACTTAATAATCTCCACAACCCCTATACTAGTAATTAAAATTGTGTATACTAATTATAAATTGAAAGACAATGAGGAAAGAAATCAAATTAACCATGCATATACATTCATTTAGTCATTCATATAATAAAAGTGGATGTAGCATAGAAGAAACAAACACACCAAGAATTCGGGTGTTTTTTTTAGAAACTATTTGATAGTAATTCTAATCATCAAAATAAACTCACTTTTATTCATCCTTAAGAGTAACAAGCTATATTTATATCGTAATGTTGATTTAAAGATGGATAGACAAAAAAAAATATAGATATTATACTGATATGTATCAAAGCAGTAATTTCAACACTTGTTTTTATATAAAAACACTCAAACGAAGAAAAATGTATATCATTTCCTATGAAGTAAAAAGAACATATATGTATATAACTGCTGTAATCGTGTATTTTACCATAGATAGATTACATTGATATTCAAAACCGCAATATTTAAAAATGAATCTCGGATATACATATCGTGTAGACAGTATGATAATTTTAGATCTCTGAACCATGAATGTTTCGGATTAAGACAAGTTAATTTATGTAAAGCTGTTTATCAGAGAATATGAAAAATGACTACATATATTTGGTTTCAATAGTTAAGTGGTATTTTATTCATTCTTATCGCTGATAGATCCCACAATCAACATAAACATATTTAGAACAACATATATAAGCGAACAATATTGTTTTCGAGTAGATCCTCATCAGGCTTTACTCTAATATATAGTAATATTTATATGCATATACGAAATTATTAAACCAATCAAGGTAGTTTATAAGTCAATGATAACAATGAAAACATTTACTTCAACTACTGATATATATATTTATTTTAGTCAGTAGAATTAAGAGATCGAAACAAAATATCCAGTTGATGAATATACATTGATTGACTTGCAATTATTTTTTTTAATACCAATGAATAAAAGTTATATAACTGTCAATATACTTTTTCTTTAAATTCGTATAATACCTCTCTGTTTATTGATACTAGAAGGGATCTACAGTTTACATGAATTATTTATTGAGTATTTCACCAATTTTTGTACCATAGTTCTGATAAAAATTTTATCCATTAAACAATTAACGTAAACTATTATAGAAACTAATCAATAAAATATTACATGGTATTTAATGTCATCTGCTATTAAACTATCTGAGGTATTTTCATGTGATTAACAGACTATTCCAGTGATTTAACTGATATAAAATTAAGATACATCTTAACAATAAGATAACTTGAGAAGGTACAGTTGAACTAATCAACACGATTCATCCGATAGTCTATAGACAATCGACAACTCAATAAGTACTGATGATTATAAGCCTGAGAGTATAATTCAATGAAATAAAAAATTTCGTTTGTAATTACAACATTAACTGATGAACAAGCCTTTATTTATTGCATTTAATTCAACAGGGTAATGCGATTTATTTGTTGAGATGAGCACTATTCGACTGAATTTCATGTAATCATTATTTAGTCGAATAAAACGATATGATTACTATGAAGACAGTTGTGAAAATCATTTTAAAAGTTAAACTTTTTCGATTTTTTATTGATCAACATTCTGTACAATGAATGGATGAACACCATTTTACAATTTAAATTTGGCTAAAAATAATACAACGTTACTGAAATATTATTACCACATAGAACGACTATTTGGAGATTGTTGAATTGTATCATTCGCATCACAGATTGGTTTTAGTTAGACAATCATTGAAAACAAGAAAATACTGGACAACTGTTCCGTCCTAGTATGGGACTCCTTAGTAATGCGAATCCGTAACTTCACTAAAGAGATTGAACAGAGGACCTTTAGGTATCGCAGTAAGAGCTTAACCTTTTAGACTACTAAGTCAACACATTTAATGGTTTAACTTCAATCAATTTGTGAAATTGCACAACCATGTGTCATTGATGGGTAAATGCCCCACATCTGACATAGGTGAACTCGACTGATTACGGCTTACTGAATCATTTTAAAAGAAAATTTAAACTGAAATAATAATGTTCTAAAACTGAATATATACATTTATTACACATATTGACTACAATTAAAAGGAAGTATTTTTATTAATAATAAATGACAATCTTAAAAAAATGTTAACATACACGAGAAGTTTCACCAAATTTTTGACGTAAGGCCACTGTTTGAGGACTAGGACTTCGAAGATATTTATTTGAATTTTCTTCAACATCAATCAGAACAGGTTTCTTCATCATAGATACAGAGATATGTGTTTTTGTCTCAGTATTAACATGAGTAGTTTGATTACTAACTTTGAGACTAATATCATTATCATTATTACTGGTATTAGTAGTATCATTACTGTTATTATCCACAGACGCTTTACATGGGATAAAAACAATTGATGGAATTGATTCAGAAGATTGTTTTGAACTAATCAGATTATTATCATGATGATCGGTTAAGTTTTTATTTACATCTTTTGTTTTTAAACAAATCTGTGATGAGTGAATTTCATTACCGGATGATGGAATGAACATGGAACGTGGACGAATATGTTGATCACCGCCATTATATGATGCAAGCGGTGTTAAATTATGAAAATCACTGGTAGGATTTATTTTTATTCTCTCAAATCCTGCACTTTTCTTTGGGGGTTTGAAAGGTGTTATTGTTTCTTGATCAAATGACGTGAGTAAACAGTCAGATTTACGATAGGAATCAGATTTACGTTTCAGAGAATTAGAGTCATACGCAGATTTTACGCTGAAATTATTAAGAAATAAAGCAAGAGAATAAACTTTAGATAAGAACGATACAAAATGGTATGTTGTCCGGTGTGGCTAAAAAGAGGAGGCAACGGCTCAATGAGAAGTCCAATAATCGAACACCTTGTGAACACAGGTCACTCAATCAAGATAGACTCTGCATTCAAAGTCGTCTACAAGGTAAGTAGAAGTCTTCCAAAGACAATTAGACTGCATCTTCTTTGCTGAAGAATTAGCCATACATCTGGAAACACCAGAATTGTGTGTGCATAAGAGACTGGTACAACCTCTTCTTCTACCATGGTCTTAATGTCTTATAATTTTCTGCTTAACCTTCCATCTTCCCCTTAAATCCCCTACCCCCAACTGGTTTATTTTGTTTCTACGATCATTCTGATTACATCTAATCTCAATTTCAACACTATCTTATCATGTTGAGCCATCCTTTCCCATTGATAATTTTCCCTATCTATTTTTTGACGAATACTCAGGCCATTAACAATCAAACGATCATTAAGCTTTCCTTGCTTTATGAAACAAAAAAACCCTTTGTTTATTTAACCTCACTGTCACCATGTCTAACAGAAGTTTATTATCATCCTGTAAAAATAAGTATATATTTTTGCGATCGTACAGCTTTGAAAATGAATTCGCCGAAAAGAGAACTCTTCAATAAACTAATCTTTCTTATTTGAAATGGTATGTATCATTAAAAAAAAGATGAAATAGCACACTGATTCAGTTAAAAGTAAACGCTTGCTAATGTTCGTCTAATAAGACTAAAAATGTGTTGAAAGCTCTAATGCTAAAGCTAAATGAATATGTACACAAGCTTTGTGTAAATATACATAAAAGTGAACTGATCGAGACAGGGATATATAGGCGGTGGTTTTAGGGCAGATCAGTTTTTCATTCGCTCACAGTAAGCCAGCCCATATATGGATTTCCGACATACCACATGTCCTTGAGAAAGTAGATGATCTGTCCGAGATAGACCACTAAAGCAGTAACAAACGTCGAGTTAGTATTACACCAGACATTGCAGTCAGTGCAGCTTCCAAAAATTAAAACTACTTGATCAACTGGCATTTATTAGTTGATGATTAAGTTGAAAGAGCAAAAAAAGACTTCCATTTGACTGTATAGTCTACAAGAACGATGAGATATCGTACAAGATACAATCCAAACTCAACCATCAAATTTCTCGAAATACTGTAATTATTACGAATACATTATCATAAAAATCTAAGTTTAATTCTTTAAAAAAAGTTAATTAATTTGTCGCAGATTCCATTTACCATTCAAACCAGATAAACGAACACTGTAAATCTTTAGATATTGAGCAGTTTCATCATTTATGTTACAAGAATTTAAACTACTATAAACTCTGTATTGAACTCAGAACTGTGAGATTGTATAGACTAATATGCTTTTTTAAAGCAACACTTTCTGATATGAAATTAGGTAATAGTACTAAACAGTTCTACTATAAAATAGTATAATATTTTATAAAAAGAATTTAACTATTTATTCATAGTGTGAATATACATCTTACAATTGCTAGTGGGTAAAATAATTTACAATCTTTAAGCTTAACTTCATTATTTAGTGTATAGAGACAGGAAGTAAATCATTAAAGTACATGAAATTGAAAAATATTTTTTGATAAAAAAAAAAAGACTATAAAGGACGTATACTTTAATTAATAGCATGGTTAATAATTAACTAACAACAAATACTATAATAAAAACAGATAAAATAATACAGAATTTCGTGTAAACTATACTAATCTAAATTGTTGTACTTTTTCCGATTGGATGAAAAGAGAGAAAACAAAATTGTATTATAGTAATTAGGCTACAAAAAGAATATTTAGAGAATAGTGATATAATAAGTGAATATAATTTTATTTTGGTAGGTGATTTCTGACTAACTGGATGTATGATAATAGTTATTTTATGAATAGGTTAGAAGAAAGTTAAAGGAGACAAAACTAAGAAATGCATTAGTCTGTAAAGTCATTGACTGTTGAAATGAGCCGTGTAGGTGAAGATGAAGTACACTACCTGGTTGGTGTCCATGTAACTATCTTCAACAATGGTTCGAAACATAAGGTGATATGGCTAAAATTTACTGGGAACGACGTAGATGCATTCGCTACTTGTTTTTCCTTAAACTTTAAGTTTCGAAATTATCTTATAGAAACTTTCTATCTCACTAATCCACATTTCTCGAATTACATCGTCAATACCTAATTTTTACTACTACCACTAATATTATTACTATATTTTAATACTATGGAATCTCTCTATGCTGTGGCGAATTGAATATATATATATATGCATGCCAGTTTCTGTGTTTCCCATGTCTTAGCAAAATCACAGTCAAAAAGTGACTTTTACTGTCAACTCTTAAGTTTCCTATTAAAAGCCTATTAATGTTTTACGTGGGTTTTGCGTTTTCAATTTTCTCCTTCAAATAAATTATACTAAATACCTTCAAATTAAAAATTCCCTTTATTCATTGTTGAACAGTTGTGAACGCTATATATATATATATATATATATATATATATATATATATATATATATATATATATATATATATATATATATATATATAAATGGCTGGCAAGTCAGCCTACAGGAAGTTAGACTATGAAATACCATAATAATCAGCTACACATCAACATTAAACACTTTATTCAACTGTAAAATACATTTCAATAAATTAGTATTTATGTCTCTATTTACGTACAGCAAGAGAGAGAAAATTCGTGGACACATAAAGAGTGTGAGTATCTAGTTGACATAGTAAAATTATGAATAAATAACTAACTATTCAACAGATAAGTTGAGTCGACTTTTTGTTGTTGTAATTTGATACAGAGGACGACATTGTATTTGATACTTAAGTCTATAAAAGTTAATCAGTAATTATGTGTTTCTGTATAATCTTATGTTCACTATTGACAGAGCATTCGAAGTCGGTCAGTGTGGATTTATTACAAAATACACTACAGAATAAAATCAATAGTTTAAAACCAAGTAAAATGAGCATTAGCATATTTGTTTTATACAAATAAAAGTAACAAATACACGAAACAGATTGATTAGGTTTAAACTCTTGATTTTATTCAACTTAAACAGTCGAATGATTTTAAATAAAACTATTTTGACTGGTGAAACTCCCAAAATCAGTAGATTGATTAATAGGCATTAGAAAATGAATCCCGAATATTTTAAGTCACGATCGTAGCTGGTATGTTGATATGGTGATCGGACTTGCATATGGTGATGATCTCATTGAGCTATATTGGGTGGGGGGGGGGCGGAACAAGCACTGCTAGAGTGGATCTCCATCAACAGTCGTTTATGTGCTGTTCGGCTAAACGGTTCCGTAAGAACTCGGAAGGATAGGGACACACGTCGTTGCCTTTTTGTCGTTTCTGCCTACGCTCCCACTGACTGCAGCCTGGATGAAATGCATGATGAATTTTACAGAAAGCTTTCTGAACTTCTTCAGAAAGCTAAACGCTCAGACATAGTACTCGTAGGGGGTGACTTTAATGCTCAGATAGGTAGCTTAAACCAAACAGAAAGGCATTTAGGTGGATATTTTAGCATTCCGGCACAGCGAACAGATAATGGTGATCGTCTGCTGCAACTGTGCTCAGACAATCGCTTATTTTTAGCAAACACGAATTTTAAGCATAAGGAGAGACATCGCCTGAAATGGCGACCCCCTGCACCAAACCAACGATGGACTCAAATAGACCATATTGCCATCAGTCATCGTTGGAGAGGGTCGGTAGAAGATTGTCGCTCATTCTGGAGTACCTGCTTGGACTCCGACCACGCCCTAATACGGGCACGCATCTGCTTGCGCCTCACCGGACGCAAAAAAGCCACATTAAAAAGACCAATTAGAACTGAATTGAGTAACGAGAAAACCAAAAATAGGTTCCAAGAACAACTGAGTTCACACTTAGGTAGTTCTGAAGACGAGGCTGACCCAGATTTTGCTTGGAAAGACATACAAGCAGCTGTGGAAGCAGCAGTGACATCTATTAGCAACTTAAACCACAGAGTTTCAAAGAACCAGTGGATGTCTTCAAAGTCTATCACACTGATGGATTCTCGCAAACTCGTCCCATCAGGTTCCGAACATGATGAAGAGCGACAATAAATCAGATCTAGGTTAAGAAAAAGTCTAAGAAACGACTGTGAGTAGTGGTGGGCAACGAAAGCAAAAGAGATGGAAAAGGCGGCGACTATAGGGAACACAAGACAGCTTTACAGACTAATAAAAGAAACTGGAATTAATAAGTCAAGTGTAAGTGAGATTATATCGGAAAAAGACGATAAATTCATCTGCTCCCAGTCCAGGCGTTTAGAACGATGGGCGGAACATTTTAGAGAACAGTTCAGCTGGCCTTCAGCTACTCTACAACTACCCTCCATTCCCAGACAGTTTGAATGGAACATTGAAGTAGGTCCCCCAACTCTTGCGGAAGTTCAAAAGGCTATAGATAATCTGAAACGAGGAAGGGCAGCTGGTCCAGACGGACTGGCTCCAGAAGTCTTTAAGGATAGTGGTCCAATTTTAGCGATTAGGTTGACTAATATTTTAGCTAAGATCTGGGAGTTAGACGTTATTCCATCTGACTGGTCACAATCACTTATCGTCCCAATATATAAGAAAGGGTCAAAATCATCCTGTGACAACCACAGAGGGATTAGTTTAACTAATATAATATCTAAAATACTAGCCTCAATAATAATCAGACGCCTAACTAAAACTCGTGAACTGCAAACACGAGAAAATCAAGCTGGCTTCAGACCTGGTCGTGGCTGCATCGACCACATATTCACCATTCGTCAGGTTCTAGAACACACATATCTATCGGCGTCCGACAATGGTGGTTTTTCTTGACTTAAAAGCAGCATTTGACTCGGTAGACCGCGAGATTCTGTGGCAGTGTCTGTCATTGAAAGGCGTACCCCAGAAGTACATAAACCTTATAAAGGCTCTTTACTCGAACACTACTAGTCGAGTCAGAGCTTATGGCGAACTGTCATCTGCTTTTGCAACCTCAAGTGGTGTCCGTCAAGGATGTCCACTTTCCCCATTTTTGTTTAACTTCATCATAGATCTACTGATGGAAATAACTTTCTCGTCGACTGAGTTCTCGGGTATTGATCTCCTTCCAGGAGGTCCACTTATCGACTTAGAATACGCAGATGACATAGTCCTGTTTGGTGAAGACGCTGACAAAATGCAGTCTTCTGGTAGCACTGAGCAACAATGCCAGGATGTTTGGAATGCGCTTCTCTCCCTCTAAATGCAAGTTGTTGCTTCAGGACTGGTCTGCGTTAACACCTGAACTAAGAATAGGGAGTGAAGTAGTCGAACGCGTTGACAACTTCACTTATCTTGGAAGTCTGATCAGCCCTAATGGGTTGGTATCGGACGAAATCTCAGCACGGATTCGAAAAGCTCGTTTGGCTTTTGCCAACTTACGTCACCTGTGGCGAAGGCGAGATATCCGTCTATCAATAAAAGGACGAGTATACTGCGCGGCAGTCCGTTCTGTCTTACTTTACGGCAGCGAAATATGGCCTTTAAGAGTAGAAGACACTCGTAAGCTATTAGTATTTGACCACAGATGCCTAAGAAATATTGCTGGCGTCTGCTGGGATAACCGGGTAAGTAATAGTGAGGTTAGACACAGGGTATTAGGAAAGCATGGTAAATCAGTTGATGAGGTTATGAATCTTCATCGACTGAGATGGTTGGGCCACGTGTTACGTATGCCTGAACACCGATTACCACGTCGTGCAATGCTAACAGGTGTTAGAGATGGTTGGAAGAGAATTAGGGGCGGCCAAACCAAAACGTGGCGTCAGTGCTTGAAGACACTAACCTCTAATCTGAGCCATGTTGGTAGATGCAGACTACTTGGTTGGGGTCCGCGTGACTTTCGTAACCAATGGTTGGAGACTCTTGGTGACATGGCTCAGAATCGATCACAATGGCGTCGGTGTATACACTCCCTGTCTTCCCTTAAACTATGAGATTAAAATCGCTTCATATCTTTCTTTCTACGAACCAATTCTTTCTGCTTGTACTATATCTCTATATGCAATCTTTCTCTTATATATTACCACCTTTTACCTAACCACTGTTATGAATCTGGTGTTCATCTTGTTGTGTTGATGCGGTATGGCAACCTGGACCGATGCACATATGTGCCTGGTCCTACGTTGTAGCTGACTGACTGACTGACTCTATTAAAAATTACCATACCAAGTAGGTTATTTGGAGAATGGTAAGACTAAAAGCAGGAAATTAACGAAAGAGGACGAAGTCAAACTGTTAATTGCAATAGGATATGACGGCAGTAATGTAGTTTATTCAGAAAGCCGGTATTTCCAATGATGCCAACGTCTCACAACGGAAGGGAGGGGGATTAGGAAAGGTCGACCCTAAAATGATTACACGTCACTATACCCTACGGATTTCTATCGTCAGAAGTAGTACCTCAAAAACACAGAGATAACACATTAAAAACTGCTCACAAGGAGCCCATGTGTTTCCTTAGGGACTGGGGTTACTCTCTAAAGTAAAAAAACACCACTAATAACCCATTATGTTTTTTATGTACCTCAAGAAGAAGTATCCTCCCAGGGAGTAGTCAATGGAGAAGTTGCAACTGACTAAATACCTGTAACAGTACTTGAGATTATTTTCCAGTTCTAATGAATTACAAGAAAGTTAATTTCATGAATTATTCCATATTGTGAAGTTGCGTGTGGTATATACACTCTATATCACAAACAAACATCTATAATAAAAGTGAGGTCATTTCTAAAACACCATTGATAAATTCATAATTGTCCATCGCATATGTCGGGTTGTGACCAAACTCTCTGAAGTACTTTCACAGATATGGATCCTATTAATGCTAAGAAATGGATTCCATTTCTAGTGTATGAGACATACACCATTAGTGGCTTAACTTTTTAAGAAACATATATATGAGGTACATATGTCACCGACTCGGTTTAGTCAATAAACTTCCAAGTCTTCTCACCTGACTAGACAGGTTGACTTATGTATAGGAAGATTGAGTATCTGTATCAAAACCAAATATTACACAACACAACAGAAATGTTATTGATTGTATATTTTTTTCACAGAAAAAGTGAATGTAATGTAAAAATAAATCCATTAAGCTAACACAAATTTACGTAGTTTTAAGCGATGCTACCTTCCTACACGCTAGTGATACTCTTCCGTTATCCATATAAATGTAGGATGGAGCAAAGTTTGAAAATTGCAACCTACTAATTGAAAGACAAGTGCCTTAATGAATAAGGTGTCATTACTCTACAATACATCAAAGTGCAAGTTGTTTGTGAAAACTAAGTGTACTTTAATATAAACAATGTATAGCATTGAAAAAAAATCCATATACTAACCTGCCTCTTAAATTTAGTCCTGAAAGTGAAGAATCAAGTTTATTTGAATCAGAATTCTCACTAATCGATTCACCAGTATTTACAGTTAATATTTCAGTGGGTAGATGAATGTTAGATATTTTTTGATGAGGTGGTTTTTCACTTATTTGATGTATTATTTCACTTTCTTCTTTTATAAGACCCAGTTGAGGATTAGAAACTGAAAAGAAATTATCATTAGTCGATACATGCTTGGGTGATAAAGAAAAGAAGCCAACAACATTTTCATCCGTTTTATTCAATGTACGATAAGCTTTTGATGGTGGACGACGATTTCTAGGTCTACTGACAGCTAATTTATGCTGTAAACTGACTAAATCTGAGGCACCAGCGGATGATGGAGTTGAACTGATAGACTCATGTATACTATTAGGTGGGGTTGTTGCAAACACATGAGTACTATGGGGAGGTGAATATGGAATACTTAAATGTTTTTGATGTGGTGAAGAGGATTCATTTGAAATTGAACTATCGGAACTTTCAGCAGACTTAGCAATTGTTGCTATTCTAGGTGGAAGATTATGACCAGGGCGAATTCGTAGTTTTGAGTTCAATTCTTCCTAATAAATAGAAAAATATTAAAATGTTTTAATGTCAAGTGAATAATTTATTACAAAGACTAGTCGAATATAATCAGGTTATAGAATCTATGCCTTACGAACACTGAATGGAAACGTACTAATCTGATTAAATACAGAACACAGTCTTTTGTTAAAATCGGTTGAAGTTAGACATTAATACCATTGAATGCCGACTCAGTGATTTAGTTGGTTGAGTGCCTAGCGCGAGACTGATAGGTCCTGGATTCGAATCTCGCGGGGTGCGGGATCGTAAATGCGCACTGGTGAGGAGTCCCATACTAGGACGAAACGGCCGTCCAGTGCTTCCACGTTTTCCATGGTGGTCTAGCTTCAATTGACTCATGAATTCAATCTGTGAAATCTCTAAAATCTCCGCAAACCCCTTCTGATAAAAATCGTAAAAGTAATTTATGCGTCGATGGTTCAAAGGATGTAACAAACTTATGAACAGTAGTCCCCAAATAATTAGCCCCTGTTAAAGCAGGATAATGAAGTATGGATGCTGAATGTTGAAATAATTATCTTTCATTAGATAACATCTTAGCACCATTAGACAACGGACTATAAATTCTAAAGATCTTACCGCCTTACTTCGATTCCTAACAAAATGGATTGTTAGCTTCAGTCATTCATTCATAATCAATGCAGAGACTAAGAAAAATAGTTTGGCTCAAATTTCCACACCACAATAGCACAACGACAAGAAATTAACAAGATTAATAACAAAGGAATCGCAAAATGTAGAAATTATTGTAAGAAAGATTGAAAATTGGGAATATGGTAATAAAAAGACAGAGTGAAAATATATGTATAAGAGAGAATGTTGAAACTCAAAATCTATGGGAAGATAAAAAATGAATACATCCAACCCATGTCATCCTAAGTTTTCAACCAATGATTGCGGTCATCGCATGGATTGCAAATCGTTAGTTAAGGAGGGTCATCAGGTAGAAATAGTTGAGTATTTGTTCACAGAATACAGTAAACCGATCTCTTTGATCTATCACTACATAATTAGATAATACTAGACTGATACTAATGAATCTCATACAGTTGTGTTAACGGAATACGATGTTAGAAGCATCTACGAACACCCAATCAGTGCTGCTACCTTAACGCGGTGGTAGGGCTGGTCTATCCTAATAAACTGACCGGGCAATACTGGTTGGAACAATCGTTCCTCAAGGTCCTACTATGCCAGACAGGTCGGTTGAAAAGCGGTAAGACTAAAAGCAGCGAACCCAAGGCCCGAGAGCGAAGTCGTACTGCTGACTGTAAAAAGGTGTGACGGCAGTAAGGTTTTTCCTTCAGACAACCAGCATAACAGCAATGCTTCCTTCCCACAAGGTGGGGTGGGGTTAGAAAAGGTCGACCCAAAAATGAACACCTCGCCTTATCCCACGGAGGTAGGGTCTTAACAATTACGGAGCTAACACGGAAATTACAAAAAGGTCGTGTGACCAACCCTAAATAGTTGCCCATGGGTATTACGGCCGCACCTTTTCGTCGTTTTTGCCTACGCTCCCACTGACTGCAGCCTGGATGAAATGAATGATGAATTTTACAGAAAGCTTTCTGAACTTCTTCAGAAAGCTAAACGCTCAGACATAGTACTCGTAGGAGGTGACTTTACTGCCCAGATAAGCAGCTTAAACCAAAGAGAAAGACATTTAGGTGGGTATTTTAGTATTCCGGTTCAGCTAACAGATAATGGTGATCGTCTGCTGCAACTGTGCTTAGACGATTGTTTATTTTTAGCAAGCATTAATTTTAGGCACAAGGAGAGACATTGCTTGAAATGGCGACCCCCTGCACCAAACCAACGATGGATTCAAATAAACCATATTGCCATCGGTCATCGTTGGAGAGGGTCGATAGAAGATCGTCGCTCATTCTGGAATATCTGCTTGGACTCCAACCATGCTCTAATACAGGCACGTGTTTGCTTGCGCCTCACCGGACGCAAAAAAGCCACACTAAAAAGACCAAAAGTAGGTTCCAGAAACAACTGAGGTCACACTTAGGTAGTTCTGAAAACGAGGCTGACACAGATGTTGCATGGAAAAATATACAAGCAGCTGTGGAAACAACAGTGACATCTATTAGTGATTTAAACCAAAAGGTTACAAAGAACCAATGGATTTCCTCAAGGTCTATTGCACTAATGGATTCTCGTAAACTCATCCTATCAGGCTCTGAACACGATGAAGAGAGAAAGCAAATCAGATCTAGTTTAACCAGAAGTTCGCTAGAGGATCATGAACAATGGCAAGCAACCAAAGCAAAAGAAATGGAAAGGACAGTGGCTGTAGGTAACACTAGAAAGCTTTTCAGACTAATAAAAGAAACTGGAATTAGGAAGTCAAGTGTAAGTGAGGCGGTCTCGGAAAAAGACGACACTCTTATCTGCTCTCAGTCTAGACGTTTAGAACGATGAACGGAACACTTTGAGGAGCAGTTCGGCTGGCCTTCAGCTACTCTATAGCTACCCACCATTTCAACAGTCTGAATAGAACATTGAAATAGGTCCCCCGACTGTAATTGAAGTGTTTGGGCACAGAGATGATAATTCAATTGGTGTCACCATCTTGAAACACCGACTTCGATGGCTTGGACATGTTCTACAAATGTCGTCCCAGAGAATTCCACGTCGTGCATTATTTGCCGACTCTGGGACTGGTTGGAAAAAACGGAGAGGTGGTCAGTGCATGACATGGTGTCGTGGTATGAAAGAAAGCTGAAAAGGACTGGCTTCTGTTGGTCCTTCACGACACCCTGGTTGGGGTCTGAGAGATGGTGCTACACAGTGGCTAGAGACGTTATCAGATATGGCTCAGAATAGAAGCCAGTGGCGATCCTGCTGTAACCTTCTTTTACTTTCTTCATAAAAAGTGGTTGTGTCTCCCTTACTTGAAAGATTTCTTCTGATTGTACCTTTCCGTTCCATCGTTACGACCACACTACCTTACACCAATCTCTTCGTTATCGTTCTCTTTTTCTTTTGTGCTCCTTAGTTTTTTTCTATCTCTCTTCGAATTTTCATTGTTTTGTGTGGCGCATATATATTGGCGCTCTCTTGTACCAATATTTATGTGTTCAAATAAATAAAAATAATTGAAGTTCAAATAGCTATAGCTAATCTGAAACGAGGAAGGGCAACTGGTCCAGATGGATTGACTCAAGAGATCTTTAAGTATGGTGGTCCAAATTTAGCGATTAGGTTGACTAATATTTTACCTAAAATTTGGGAGTTGGACGTAATTCTATTTGACTGGTCACAAGCATTGATTGTCCCAATATATAAGAAGGGGTCAAAACCACCCTGTAATAACCATAGAGGGATTAGTTGGAATAATATAGCATCTACAATATTAGCCTCGATAATTATCGGACGCTTAACAAAGACTCGTGAAGTGCAAACAGGAGGAAATCAGGCTGGTTTCAGACCTGGTCGTGGCTGCATCCATTACAAATTCACCATTCATCAGATCTTCGAACACAGATATACTTACCGGCGTCCGACAATGACAGTTCTTCTAGACTTGAAAGCAGCATTTGATTCTGTAGACCGTGAGATTCTGTGGCAGTGTATGTCATTGAAAGGTGTACCTCAGAAGTACATAAACCTTGTGAAGGCTCTTTACTCAAACACTAACAGTCGAGTCAGAGCTTATGGCGAACTGTCATCTGCTTTTGCAACCTCAAGTGGTGTCCGTCAAGGCTGTCCACTTTCTCCATTTTTGTTTAACTTCATCATAGACCTACTAATGGAAATAACGTTCTCGTCGACTGAATTATTTGGTATTGATCTCCTTCCAGCAGGTCCACTGATCGACTTAGAGTACGCAGATGACATAGTCTTGTTTGGTGAAGACGTTGATAAAATGCAGAGTTTTGGTAGCACTGAGCAACAATGTCAGGATGTTTGGGATGCGTTTCTCCTCCCTTTTAATGCAAGTTGTTGTCTTAGGACCGGCCTGCATCAACACCTAAACTAAGGATAGGGAGTGAAGTAGTCGGACGCATCGACAAATTCACTTATCATGGAAGTCTGATCAGCCCTAATCGTTTGGTGTCTGACAAAATCTCGGCATGAATTCATTAAGGTTGTTTAGCTTTTACCAACTTACCTCACCTAAAGTGAAGGAAAGATATCTGTCCATCGATAAAAGGACGAGTATGCAGCTCAGCAGTTTGTTCTGTTCTAGTTTACGGCTGTGAATCGTTGCCATCAAGAGTAAGAGATACTCGTAAGTTACTAGTGTTTGATCACACATGTCTTGAAAATATAGCTGGCATCTGCTGGGATCACCGGGTAAGTAATAGTGAGGTTAGACACAGGGTGTTAGGGAACGATGGAAAATCAGTTGATGAGGTTGTAAATCTTCATCGACTGAGATGGTTGAGCCACGTGTTACGTATGCCTGAACACCGATTACCACGACACGTAATGCTGACTAGTTCTGGAGACGGTTGGAAGAATGTTAGGGTTGATCAAACCAAAAAGTGGCACCAGTCCTTGAAGTCACTAACTTCTAGTCTGAGCCATGTTGGAAGATGCATACTACTTGGTTGGGGTCCGCGTGACTATCATAACCAATGGTTTGAGACTCTGAGTAACGGCTCAGAGTCGATCACAATGGCGTCGGTGTATACGCTCTTTGTCTTCCCTTAAACCGTGAGATTAAAATTACTTTATATCTATCTTTCTATGAATTCATTCTTCCTTCGTGTATCATATCCTTATACACGATCTTTCTTTTATACATTACTACCATTGAAGTGACTATTTCTATAAATTTGGTGATCATCTTGTTGTGCTAATGAGGTATGGTAACTTGGACCGTTGCATATATGTGCTTGGTCCGAGGTTGTAACTGACTGACTGTAATACTTGAAGGGTGTAGATTTCGATGTTGTATATAGTCGTGGATATCCACTGTCAGGAAGTCTCAAAGTAGTCTAGGATTGATGTCGTGTTTTCTGGTTCTTGTGATTATCTATTTGGTATCAGTTCAAGATATTCAATTTGAAGCTAAGTAGTAAATAAACAATCTTATTTTCTAAGGATAACATAACAGAAATACAGAGAAGAAAAAATGACGAAAAATAACTTACTCGAAAAGCAGAATTTTGAGGGGATGCATTTCCACGGACATATGATCGTGGGTTAGAACCATATGGTTCATTCAATATATGAATCGCAGGGGTAACTCGATCACCTCTACAAAACATGAAAGAATATAAACATTGCAATAAATAAATAATATAAAAGTACTAAAAAATAATTCTAATCTAAATCATTTTCATGGAATATGATGAAAAAGTTAATTAGAATATGATTAATTTAATGAATGACCGATTGGGTTAGCACTGAAAATACTTCAGGTAGCTAATAAGTGTGGTAAGAAGAGAGGAATTACGATTCACACGTTTACATTACCCTATTGGAAGTCATAATTTATTTATTTAGCTTTTTGGGCACTAGGTAATTGTAAACCAGAAACTAAGTGATTTTCTAAAGTTTAGCAATCAGAACCTATCTAATTACCTATTCATAGGAATGCTAGATGACAGTTTTCATGTTTTATATTAAAATGTTTTCAACGAAAAACCTTAAAATAGAGATATATCACATAGCACTTTATGATCTGAATATCAACTATACAACTACTGTATAACTATATGACACCCAATCGATAGCAGGACTGATTTAGGATGATTCACCTCAGTGGAATGTATATTCAATAAATACAACACTAGCCACAAAGAATTTGTATGAACTCTTTACTTAATAGGATACGTTTCACATTTCCCACTATAAACAAGATTGTAATAAACGCTCATTTAGAAGCAGTCTAGAAGTTGTTTTTTGTGGTGTGTAGGATTATTATTATTATTATTGCCTTTTAATTCATATTAACTCGACCACCCTTTTAAATTGACTTACATTCTGTAACCATTTTTCAGAATATATTATATTATTATATCACAAGCACAGGTAGACTAATTCAATTTATCAGAGTGGGGATTTGTGGAGATCGTAGTAATTTTAATAGCTGAATACATGAGTCGATCTAAGCTAGCGTTCCGCACGTGGGATCTATGGATGTGCACTGCTAAGGAGTCTCATACTAGAATGAAACGGTCGTCTAGTACTTCCAGGTTTTCAATGATCTAGCTTAGATCGACTCATGAATTCAACTACTATAATTCCATTTAGTCTATACCCAATCGCTCACTGTTTCGTCCTAAGGCTATTTAAGGATGTAACTGATGCTATCTATTAATAAAAGCTCGAGCACAAGGGTGAATGAAAAAGGTCGTATACCAACAATGGTAAGGACTCATAAGAGTGTCTATCAAGAGGCGATCACTGAAAAGGTGGGTATCGAAAGAGGGAACAACATTTTTAAGGGTTTAAAATTTGTTCGGTCTATCATCTGTCCCCTTACCTCTGCGACCGATCGAAAATGTAGTTCTTTAAACACTCAATGTAGGATCTACTGTAGATTTTTGAGTTCAGTAACAATTTGTTATCCTTAATAACCCCAGTCATGTTATCTCATATATCTATTTGGAACGGCCAAGCTGAGAATCTAGTTAACCTATTTAATAATTAATATGGGGTTCTGAAGTAGAGAAGTTTAAGCAATGTCTTTTCACTTACAACGAAATGATATTTGCAACTGTCAGGGAATACAAACTACCTAATATGAACCTTTTTGATAGTCAACCTTACTGATATGGGCCCTTGACCATTTGCCTTTATTAATGTGAACCGTAATTGGCAATGGTTTGCTGCAACCAAGAACCAGTGAACTTAGTCTTACGTTTAATTTTACAACAATTAGTTATATAACTGTGCGGTAATAATGTTCATTTCTCTATTTTTCTATTCATCTCTTCCCAAAAGAGAAATGAAACTCATTAATTCTCTTTTACTCGCATTGAAAAATATGAATAATAGTAGGTATTGTTAGTTATCCGAATTGTAAAAAATACTGTCAGTTAGTTGACTAGTTATTTATTAATTAGCTATCTCTCATTTCTATTAAGTAATGGGTTTAAACATCCTGATTTAACAGGGGATCTCCAGCTATTGTCAAAGTCAACGAAAGTGTCCAGGCGTTAGGTTCAAAATATTTTGTTACATAAAAATTATACAAAATATTCAATATTTATCGATTTAGAGCACTTGAGTTAATTAATTAGTCTACTAATTTATTCTGGGTAGCTAAGAGTCAGCTTCACACACATTTTACAGAAATACAAATTTCTTTATTCATGGTACAATAAATTATAGACAAATAAAATTAGTGAAGTGAAAATGGCAATTCTTTTACATCTGCGTAAAATATAGCCAACTATTACGGTAAAACAAAAAAAAAACATTCTATTATCTACGACATTGATAATGATGGAAATAAAACCTGGTACTGTTAAGTTCAAATCAAAATTGATTGAATGGATCATTCATAAATTGTTGTAAAACAAGATATATTATGAATAGATACGTTGGTTATGAGTATTTGATTTTGAAAACATTGGTTATGAATAATGGGATGATAAAAGTAAGTAATTTTGAGGTTGGGTGCAGATTACATTCATATTACCATTACGTCACAGGCATTTTTCTGAGGGACGGACGGTGGCTAGCAGTGGAATTCATGAGGCTTGTTTCGCCCTTTTTGGGACGTGGCAGCTGAATGATCCTCCATTATATAGTTGACATTTACTCCAGGATTCAAACTCAACGCAACCGCGTCATCCACTTGGCTTTCAATCTTTTAATAGCCAAGTATACCCTATTTTAAACTTGAGATTTACGTATATTTATGAGTAATGTTTTGAAAATGATTTTGACTAGATACATGGAATTAGGTTGATATAATAGAAAAAGCGAAAGCCGATAATTGTGTAGTGAATTACTCTCACCTAAGATAGAATAACGACGAACTTACATACAGTAAATCAAAATGTATTGAAAAGAATGTCACTTCTAAATACAATTTGACGGAAATTGATAAATAAGTAAATATAACATCAATTAAGTTATGTCTGGTAGATACCAATATGCATTTCACTTTTTTCATGCTCATCAAATTTTAACATGCATAATTATTTTACGACATTGATAGAGAATAGGTTGAAGAAATGATTCCACAAGTATAGCATACTCTTCAAAATTAATTTATAAACAGCAATAACTTGGATATTATACATGTTATTAATAAAAATTATTCAACTTATTTCACAGATCTTAAATTTAACATTATTATTTCCTTCTAATAAGAAATTGGTTAAATTAACAAAAAGTTGACTTAATCATCAAATAAATCACTTATCTGTCTGTTTAACCACTAAATACATACTTTGATTTTTATGAACTTTTAAATCAAAATCCAGACCGTTACTAAAGTCCTGATGGGTGAATATACGTACAGATTTGTAATAGTACAAAAATAATCATTACAATAAAGTAACTAAAGACGAATCAATAAAGGGAGTTATGAAAAATATCCACTCAAAAAGCAATTCCATATATATATATATATATATATATATATATATATATATATATATATATATATATATATATATATATATGGCAGCATGTGTGTTGCAATCAGGCGTATGAATTGCAGTAAATAACAAAATGAAAGTAACCTATATGGGAAAAGTTGTATATGCCATATTTTGGAAACCAAGGCAATAGTCCTGATCACTGAATACACGTGTAAACGATAACAATACTTCTTAGAAAAGGTTTGAATTACAATCGATATGTAATTTATTTTATTTACGACCGGTCGGTTTTGTAGACTGGTATTTAAAGGCAATAACAATACAGAAGCGAAATCAATATCAAATTATCCATACAATGAATCTACTTTGATTCAAATTATGGGAATTGGTTGGAACAAATAAAACTTCAATGACTATATTAAAAGTTTAGTGGTAAGGAAAATGAAATCACTATTTAACTAAGCTAACTGTGGGGAAAACTCTAAACATTGGACACATTTCTGTGTTTCCCTTCAACAGCTCTGTAAACAGTAATATTTAGATAAAATAAATATTAGAGGAAGATTAATCTGTAAATTCTGACAAGCTGGGATTGAATTTTAAATGTACTGATAATTCGAAATGATCTAGATTATCCGAGAAAAATAAGCATAAGATTGTTTAATTAAAGTAGGTTTCAGAAATGAACTTGCATGTAGAAAAACACGCAAGTTCAAACCAATAATATTTAAAATTGGATATATATTGATAAAGCGTTGTATACGAATTTCTTAACATGTTAGGAAAATTCTCCCTCTGTTTCAATTAGTTATAAAAGATTCATCAATTTCCGATCTGCACTAATAGAGCTACGTCTTAAGTTATTATAGTAATATGAATACTTGATTGTATACGTAAATTAGTTAACTTTTTTTAAAAAACATTGTTTCTGTGAATCATCACAAACTTCATTCTACAGAGCCGGATAGAAAATGTGCTGTGATGGCCGAAAATAAGAAAAGTGCTTTGTTTATATAGAAATGAAATAGATTAATTCTGATAAATTCACCCCAGAGTGTAACAGAATCTAGCCATGTAGATTTTAGCATAACTCTTATCCGATGTTAGCGATAAACAGTAACAATAATAAATAAGTATATTTAGGGTTTCTTTTATCATACACATCACCTTGAGTATATTATTTTAAAGATAAAGGAAGTTAGTAAATGACTATAAACCACTGAGCTGTGAAAAATTTCTACAAAGACTATGTTGTTAGAAAATTATTAATAAACTTATTCAAATGGATATTGAAAAATTGAACTTCATATAAATTTATATTCCTGTCAAGTGAATATAACACATACAAATACTTAAATAAAACACCGAAATAAAAATTATTTTCAAGACACCATATATAATTAGAAAGCGTATAATAGTAGTTAGAATAAAAGTGAAAATAATTTCAATCCGTTTATATAACCACACAATAAAATAATCAATAAGTGGTCACACACCAGACATATATATACTTTGTATATTTTTAGATAGTAGCAAACATGGTTAATTCTACTAGTGTATTTTTGTGGCAAACAAAACTATTCGAAAGTGAACAGAGTAAATTTTAATTAGAATAATCAACTACAAATGACTTACTTCATATTACTGTTTAAAATATATAAACACATACAAGTCAAGTATAAAAAAGTGAAGTTGATTACGAATAAGTTAGCAGTTAACATGTTTAGAACGAAACATAATTATTTTATGTAACTATTGATTATTACAAACCTGTATTATTGGCATTATCGACATGATGATAGATAATGAAAGTTGGAAATGTTATAACTAACTTGAAACCATGAAAACCAACAGATCTTGCCTGGCGGGTTGAATTGAAGGTTTCCAGAGGTTATGATTCAAGATTACTAGTTTGGTCGAATAAGGCATTAAAGTTTAAGAGATCAGCGTAATTTCATTTTATTAGTTTTTATCACCGGTCTCGGTAAATAAAACATCCTCCTTTGATAAAGAGGAATCAGATTCCAAAATCGATAAATATTCGATAATTAACAGCTTTTAGATATATTGATCAAACTATAATCCTCTATTAGGTTGTAATACATAAACACACTTACTACCGCCCAAATGAATGTTTTGACTTCAATGAGGCACTGAAATTTATTGATTGAGAGCTTATGGCCGTGCCCATTTCTGAAAGGCGCGTCAGTGAAGTACACAACTCAACAGAGTAGTCTTTACTGGAATAGTGGATTTGAGATCGTCCGTGTTGACAGCGCCAAGCTTACTTACTTACCCCTGTTACTCCCAATGGAGCATAGGCCACCGACCAGCATTCTCCAACCCACTCTGTCCTGTGCTTTCCTTTCTAGTTATATCCAATTGTTGTTACGTCTTTTCATGTCTGTCTCCATTTCTCGACGTAATGTATTCTTTGGTCTTCCTCTCCTCCTTTGGCCTTGAGGATTTCAAGCGAGAACTTGCCTTGTGACGCAGTTGGGTGCTTTCTTTAATGTGTGTCCTATCCACCTCTAGTACTTCCTCCTGATTTCTTCCTCCACTGGAATCTGGTTTGTTCTCTCTCATAGTAGATTGTTGCTGAGTGTTTGGCCAACGGATCCGAAGTAATTTACGTAGACAGCTGTTGATAAACACTTGTATCTTCTGGATGATGGCTTTCGTAAATCTCCAAGTTTCCGCCCCATACAGTAGAACTGTCTTGACATTTGTATTGAAAATCCTGACTTTGGTGTTGGCTGACAGTTGCTTTGAGTTCCAGATGTTCTTCAGTTGTAAAAATGCTGCTCTTGCTTTGCCGATCTGCGCCTTCACCACCATGTTCATCAATGATGCTGCCCAGATATGTTGAGGTTTTTACATCTTCCAAAGCTTCTTCGTCGTGTGATTCGGTTGGTGCATGCTGTGTCGTATCGGAGAATCTTGCTTTTCCCTTTGTGTATGTTGAGATCTACTGCTGTTGAGGCTGCTGCTACACTGGTCGTCTTCTGCATTTGTTGTTGCGTGTACGATGAAAGAGTCAGGTCATCTGCGAAGTCTAGATCGTCCAGCTGCATCCCAGCTGTCCACTGTATCCAATGCTTCCCCCCAAATGTTGACATCTTCATGATCTAGTCTATCACTAGGAGAAAGAGAAAGGATGAGCGTAAGCAACCTTGCTTGACACAGGTCTTTACTTCGAAGACAATGCCAAGCAGTACTCACTAGAGATGTCCGTTTCCCCGTTCTACATGACGGATAAAAAGCTCGACGTAAATATTTATTCGTTAGATTACTAGTGAGTTTAGTACTTAACTAAATAACTTTTTATCGACACGAAACACGCGAATAATATATCCCGTTTTAGTTATGATGTAAGATAACATCAGTCCATGAGGTTACTGAATCTTAGTCTTAGACATGGTGGAGGGTATAAACTTCCTGGCTGAGGTTCATGAAGTAATTATAATATACGAACAAAGACTTAACGTGATCAAGTCCTAAAAAAACACTAAAGTAGTGTAAATGCTTCTTTTTCTTTATTTCCTTCGAATCTTTAATACAGTACTACATCAAACTTCTTAGTACTCACAGCTTTGTCTTTTCTATGTGACTTATTTACTTGTGATTTTTGTATTCCTGATAACGTCATTAGGCACAAAGAGATAACTAATTAACTAAGGTAGGCTGATGTACTCATCTTTAAGCCCCGACAATAGCTTCTACCTTGACGCGGTGGTCGGGCTTGCTTATCGTGATGACCCAACCAAGCTATATTGGCTGGAACATATGTTCCTGTAGGTTCTACCATGTCAGGCAGGTCGATTGGAGAACAGTAAGACCAAAAGCAGCAACTAAAGATCTGAGGGAGAAGTCGTACTGCTGACTGTAGAGGGGTGTGACAGCAGTAAGGTGTTTCCCTCAGACAACCATCATCTGCAGCGATGCTGCCTCCCCCACAAGGAGGGGGGGTTAGAAAAAGTCGACCCTAAAAATGTCGCACCTTACCTAACAGATTTCCGTCTCCGGTGGTAATTCCCTTTGAAGAACGGAGCTAACACGTCAAAAACCTCCAACAAAAAAGCCGTGCGCGACCGGCCTCAAGCAGTTGTCCCTTAGGCTCTGCGGTCACGCTCCCAGGTCGTTAAGACCAACACTAACCCAATTTCCTTTTCAGGTTCCTCAAGAAATACCCTTCTACAGTGTGGGCAGCCGGGAAGTGACATCAGCCCTCATACCCGTAACAGCACACGAGATCAAGCTGGTCACATTCAAATCCTTCCATTCATCTTTAAGCTATACTTGAGGTTTGAAGGGTAATTGTCAGTTTAAACCTCAGTAGGCACAGTGGGGTTTAAACTTGCGATTCTATGACTGAAAACCAAATCCTCTAACCACAAAAATACTACCTAAGGGGATTTACGCACAACATGTACCAATGGTGAGCATACTGGTTCATCGACGAACAGATAGATTACAACTTGGTCTAGATAGTATTTTATTTAGAAAATATCTCAGCTTATATACAAATGGGTTATAGATACATCACACATCAATATTATTAATATATTTATTTCAGTGAAATCTCTGTACAGTATATACAAAAGATGTAATAAGTATGAAAATATAACAACACTGACAAAAATAACTAACTAAATAAGAAATGAACGATGAATAAATAGAAAATATAAGAGCAGTCATTTAAAATATGCCCCGAATTTTGTACTGTTACTTTTAATTGTCCAAATGGAAAAGAATAAAAAAAGTGCGATATCGATACAGAAGTGGATTGTTGACGATATCCAATTAGGTCAGAAGTTATAAAGTTACGATATTTTTAGAAAGTCATACAGGTACTCAGGTTCCACCAACAGGTGTTCATGCAGCACTATTCTTTATGCCACCACATCTCTACTTCTTTCAATCAGCCACCATATGCTGGAAACAATCGACAAGATAACCGTCCAGATCATATAAGTAAAGCATAACTAATTCATGATAGCTTGTATCTTAAGTTGCTCCCTTTTTTAGAAAAGGTCCTTTCCATACTTGGCTGTATAACAGGTGATATTAGGGCTACCTGCATGATGTAACCATATAAATATGAATAATATCAGGAGAACAGAAATCGGAAACCCTTGGCTCAGGGAGACTAGAACTTATAGGAGACAAGACTTAGGTCTCCACGAAATAGATGGTGACCTAGACAGAAATGTCCCGATATTATTTTCAACAAAGATTAGTTTTTTGGTTTATTCATTTCTAGCACCAAAAACGTTTGGTATAATAAGACAACAAAAGGAATTCGAAACACAAAGCAGCTATATGCCATCCATCTCCTTCAGGTGTTTTCGTACAGAACTTTAAGGTGTTAGCAGGATTCCCAAGGATATTTTTCTTTATCATACAATGTTCGATTAGATTTCTATCTAGATAGTTCTGATATCAGGAAAAATATTACTGTTGGTTTGAAATAGTTACGTTGGTTTTCGGGCATTTGGTAGGGGAGTTGATATTTAGTTAGTGTATGCAAGAACTAAATGAAAACTAGCTTGGCACTCTAAAGTTAGTTTCCCATGAGTTTTGATCAATCTGTGGAGTATGATGATTTCTCCAGGAGAACATTAAGGATGAGGATGACAATCGCTTTAGGATGATGATACTTCCAAATCCCGAAATAATTTAGTTAGTCCTCAGATCAAGATTCCAACCCGCAACCTACGGCTCGAAAGACGAGTGCTTTAACAATGAACTACATCAAAGATCGCTAAATGCACAAACTTGGTTGTCCCCTAAAACTAACCACTTAGAGTAAACGAAGGCAAAAATTCTATGCTGATCAAACAATGTACTTGACACACCGATGAAGCGAAGAATATGCTACACTTATTAGCCATCACTACCAAACGATTATGTGAGATCTGAGTGGAACCTATACCAAACGTTCTAAGAATGATGAAACTAAACGACATTGTCTATAATTTCTGTCACAGTTAACAGAAAATGCTAGAAAAAACCTTGGAAATATGTATGTTCACTTAATTACGCTGTACGCCATCAGCGAATATATGCCATTAGAAGAGAAATAAATTAGCGACACCCTTTCGCTTACCCAGAAGCTTTACTGAGAGGTCATATTGAAATTTAATGTTCAGTTGACGTAATTGAAACTACGCCATAACACAAGATTTAAGACTATCTCATATATCCCGCTAGTAAGTGGTAGCAATAGATTTAAATGACAGGAGACCATCGAGAACAATTAGAAAAACTGTTAACGAGTGCTTGGTAGGATAGTGAAAAATTCCGTTCAAAACGCCACAAGACATGAAATGTCGTGTCACGTCATATAGAAAAAATTATCGATCAATAGTCTGGATAACCTAATGTGACTAAGTAACCAAATACGAGTTTGTATACACGAACTTAAACCACTAGCTTTCTGAACAAAAGTGGCAAAAATGATATTTGAACACTAATAAATGATTGTAATTTAGAAGCTCTAACCGCTAAAGAATACGCTGCTTGGATTGAATACATATTATATAATTTTACAGGTCATCCAGTATTATATCAGGAGGTTCTATGACCTAAAGGGCAACAAAACCTATGTATAACTGAGTGGTCAGTTCTAAAGGGATATAAAAATAATGCCATGTGCTAAAACTTTTTGGTAATGAAATTTTTTATATTATAAACAGACCAGGATAATAAAATGAAGATTAAGAGAGAAAAACTTATGCATACAACAATCAGTTAGCAAGATTTAGTTATCACATGTTAATAGATTCGAAGTTTCTATATTTATAAACAATTGGACCAAAGTGTAACTACGGGTGGCTAGCTATGTACTGAGGTCCACAGGTGTATTAGCTCTGCTTTCTAAGTCTCTCGATTGAACTACATCTTATTTCACCAAGATTATTAAACTTAATAGTCAGTACAAAGAGCTATAAAATACATTAGTTATGGTCAGTGAAATATAACTATCAATTAAGTTAATGATTTTCGTAACTAAATGTTTTCTTCATAGTTACTGTACTATATTGATCTTAACTGTGGACTACTATGCACCCGAATAAATATTAATGTGTGTTTGTAAGATATCAGTGATGTCCTCGTACACTTTGATGTCTCTATGGATAAAAAATCGCGTTGAAAACTTTACTGAGTGGTACTTGTAATAAACAAAATGAAATATGACTAGGTTTAAATGCCACATTTTATAACTGAGGTATGTACTGAATGATGACCTCGGTATTAATATGTCTTGTTATTCCTAATTCAGAAACTTTCTTATCGTAGCCAATGTTTGACAAATACTCAAGCTAAACTTCTCAGGTGTTCGGTATACAGAAGTTAAAGAGAAAACATATCCTACAAACTTTTTGAACAGCTATCTGAATGATGAGTCTCAGTGGGTAGACTAAAATAGTTGGGTAGCACGTAAAATTTAACACAGACGTTAACAAATCTACAGGAGACGATATTACAGTTCCAGGGTTGAATCTGATTGTTGTTGTGATTATGATATTTTACTGGCCATGTAATTTATATTAGTCAGTCAGTAACAACGTAGAACTTCGTACGTACGTACATCAGTTCAAGTTGCCACACCACATTAGCACAGAGATGCCGTGGTCGATTCAAATCCCGTAGTGGTAGAGGTAGTAAGAGTATAAGCAGTAATCGGAAAGATTAGTGTTTGGAGATGTTACTTAGAGTATAATACAGTGAAATAAACTTGGGAAGAGAAAAAAAGAGACAAGGGGGGATCAGGAGATCAAAATTTGGGAGAACACAAAGAGTGGATGCACCTGCGCCATTGCAAACAATTTTGAGCCATGTCATTCAAGGTCTCTAACCATCGGTTGCTATCATCTCGCGGTCCCCAACCAGGTAGTCTACACCTAATTTACATCTGTAGCAATGAGAGCATGTGAATGTAGTGTGACTAAACAACTGCAAGTTATTCGGTAGAAAAAATGTCAGGATTTATTTAGTTCTCATTTGTACGGAATGAATGGACTCAGAAGCAGTGTTTTTATACAAAGTGGGACGCCCATCAGGGAATGAAACAGAAGAGATCAGTGTCACTGATGTAACCGGTTGCTTGAAAAGTATGGTAGACTTTGAGTGAACTCGAGAAGTAGTAGTGACTTCAATGAAAAACTACATGAAAACTTCAGGGCTTTGTAGAGAGCAACAACATACAAACTTAGAGTTACATATAAATATGGACATAGAACATAAACAAAATGGTAATCAAATACACATAACTGACCTCGACAGCCGTAAAGAGGGTGACAAGAATTTACTTCACCAAAGATGTATCAAGATAAAAACTCACTAGTGCATAATCATAGGCTTACACTCAAATATATTCTGCACATAAATATGGTAGCTTTAGCGAAGCGAAAGGTGAACAATTCCGTAGTAGCTATAATATAAACACTAATAGTGAATGTGCCATGCAACACTAAGTAAATCTCAAGCCAGTTACTGAAAAATGGATCCAAAAATCTACTAGACAACAAAATAATCGATATCTACGGTCTATTATGAAGTGACTACGAAACGTCTCATAAATTCTACTGCCTCAGAACCAAACATTTGACTAAAATAGAAAGTAGATCGAAGCCAACATACTTTCAGAACCTCAGTTAAAATTTAAACATACCTTAAAGGATGAAGAGGGTCAACCGTCTCGCTTGAGGTAGAAACAATTTCTTTGTTTGTTTTCAGATCATCAGAAGCATAACAATAATTGTTAACGTCACGACTAGTAACTGGCACACTAGGATGTTGTGGTTTGACGAAAGCAGTACGCAAACCACTGCCAAACTTTGAGAAGAAGCTCTTCACTTTATCTACGGATGCTTTATTGAATAAAAAGGTTTAATTCACTTGGCAACAAACAAAGAACTTAGAAATAAGGGTTTATCACAGGGAGAAACCATGTTTTATTTCCATCAACAAAGAACAGGATAAAACTTACTAGGTTCAGATCCGTTATCTGAGGCATCGAGAGCCCTTTTCTGTGGTATAAATTAGTGGAACGTAATTCTCAAACCTTTATGAATGCCTTCATGCACTGTGAGTCAACCAAAACCTACATTGAGTATTGCGCTTCATACGACCTACAAGTTAACAATAGTCGAACAATTGATATTACTGAATACCTAAACATTAACTAACTATTTATAATGTCTAGATGATTAAAGAAAATCATTAAAGTGCAAGAGTGAGTTCATTCTTTTGTATATTATCATGAAAATGTGAGATTCAAGGGCCACTAAACTGGAAAGTCCTCTCTATTTTGGCTTTTACCGTATCAGTGAAAGGCTCATTCAGACAAGGATGGCAAACATACATGTGGGTTTCAAACGGTTCCGTCTGGAAGATCTTAATATTTTTATTCAGCCACACCGAGCATTTAACAGATCTGTCAGGAATACTCTCATGTGATTTTGAATCTCGATGAATCTGTGTAAACCTCAGTGAGTCTATCTACGGCCAAAAACTGTTTGGTTGGAGTGACATATATTAGGCTTGCCACTAATTTTCCGCACAAGCCTGGAAGATAGGAGAATTAGCCTATCAAATCTGTCTAACATAATTAAGTCGTTATCATAGTAGACTTCAGTCGTACTTGAGATAAATCAACTGAGCACACACAGTGAAGAGGATAGTCCTACTAAGCCTCTTTTTTTCCACATTGAAAGACTGAAACTGTGTAGAAGTGTGAGGTCAGGAATCCTACGAAAAAACAGAAAAATCGGTCACATTATGACTGTAATTTTACCAATGAGCAATTCTTAATTGACAAGCCTTAGATCGTGACTCGCACAAGGAGAAATAATCCCATTGATGATGGCTCAGGTATTCAGTGTTTGACAACGCTTTTACCACCAACGCCTTCTAATATAATTTGTACCCACCGAGAGAAATCAAAAGACAGAGTCGAGGAGATCGGAAGAGTGTATTTGGCGATAACCAATATATCGGAATTCTCTGATCTAATCTGGCTAGCGATTGCTGTTGATGTTGAGCACAGCGTCCCCACTCATGTTCTGGTGTGGATGCATGACCGAGAGCCTTCAGTTAGGTGAGTCCATCAAAACTAATGTGGTCAGAATCCAATGTTGAATACTTACAGAGCTATTCATTTTGGGGATTTGTTTACCGCTACAAAAGTTTCCAGTTTCAAAGACCTGAATTAGAACACTTTTCAGATAACAGACGTTTGGAGTCCAAATGTGGGGATGTTCGGATGGTTTTTCGGTCTTTTTTCAGTGAGTGTTGCATCCAAGAACGTATTTTTCGTCGAGGATTTCATTTCGAAACTTCATCTTCAATTTGTTTGCTTTCTGCATCTGGAAAGTTGGGGTGGGAGTTGACGATATTTTCATAAAAGACGTGTGTGTAGCTTTAATGAGACTCTAAGTGGAATTTTCACCATTATATGCAGCGCTCATCCATTATCTAAGAAATGAAGTGCCTAAAAATGTTTGATATTGCACTGGTCTGACCCATTCAATATACCCTTATTTCTCTTGTCTTCCAAAACATTGAATTAATGAGAACACTCAAAATGTGTTCACATGCCCAAGAGAAATTACTTTTGAGCTAACTATTAACTTTCCAATAAAATCATAAAAGAACAGAACTCTTTACCACAACATGTGATTAAAGCTCTAGCTATCGACTCTTTAGAAAAAACTTGGATCGATTGTGAGGTCATCATTGTCCTGACTAACACAGGCTACCTAGCCTCCTGTTTATCTCAAACAAACGGAAACTTCAAACGAACAATGAAAAATGTGTGGATAAACTCACACTTTAATAGAAATTCTTACTGCGTACGACCTCTTATACTGCATATTTGTTTGTTCGATAAATTGTATCTAAAATCTACAGCCCAAGATCGTTTGGAACCATGCCTATGGACCACAATGATTGAAAAGACCAGTGAGTGGAATTTACGAGAATCAGCAAGGACAGGATACGCAGTGTCCAAGTAAGTTGGAATCATCCGTACAAGGGCACTGAGAAAAAACGACATTAATATCCGTCGTGACGTTACATTTTGGTCATTTAATACTGATACACAATCTCTGTTTACGTGAACATAACCGGCTACTTAAGCGAAGAGACTGCAGATTTCAAACCAAGGTTTGAAATGAAGGGTAACTGTTCAGATAGCTTAGATACGCGTTATTGTTCAATTGAAATCAAAACAAGGTAATTTGGTAAACGACAGTTTTAGACAAATATTACCACCCAGTTCTTCAACCAATAATTGTTCAGTCAGTAGTCAAACCATGTGCAACAAATAAATGTTATTCTATCCTTTCTGAAAAGATCACGTACAGATTCGTTCGAAAGATAATATTTGGTTGCGTCATGATACAGTGTTCTCAGTCCCGAATTAATGCTTTAATTCACAATCAAAAATGTACAGTTCCAGTCAATGCAAGCAGCACAACTAAATAAGGGAGGATGAATCAATATGGCTGATGCAGTATCTGAGTATCAACTAAAGCAACATAATCATAGTTCAGGAAAAACATGGAAACTTAGTGACGGCGTGAGGAAAACAAAAACTATGATGAAAATACAAGTATTACCATCTCGAATGGGATCAAAAAGATCAACAGAATGTATCAACAGGATAGCAACAGAAATAAATTACAAGTGTATACGTTGAGGGATTTTCATACGAAAAACCTTCGAAATGGATCTTAAAAAGACTGTGTGAATAATGAAGTTAATTAACTAAACCAATCCACATTTGTGCAGTCACTCGCCTGTGTACCGGTTTCTTAAAAATGTAGCCACCAATGTTTCATTCAGAATTCCGTTGCCACGTTCTTCATTATTGATCTTCCCTTTGTATCACATGCTGAATGTTAATCTCGGTAGTTATACGCCCTGCCGATGTCAATAATAACTTACTATAATCATTAGCCTGGCCTTTTCAACGTATAAAACGAAGGGTAACCATCGGCGCAAATACTTTATGTGTTGCACACCGAGATAATCCGAATGAAGTTCTCTGGAAACTTGGTATCTGACGGTGAAAAGATAACTAGACGCTCTTTAGGCATCGGGTATGAGCTGTTAACAATCAGTCCATCACTCTTTCAAAAATATGAAATCATTATCGACGAATTCTCACCATACATTCCGTATGTACTTATCGATACACTGCAGTTCATCTTGGGCTATTTTCATTGTTTTTGAAAAGGCATAGCTTTCACGTGATAGCACCCGGTTTACTTCTGCTTTAATTGATACTGTAGCAACGACGAAACCACCATCGGCCGGTAGATTTCAGTTGATTGATCCTGATAATGCATCAGCACGTACAAAACTGGCTGTTGAGAAGTACTTAATGGTAAAATAATGATTGAGAAGAAATGCTGTTCACTACCGCAAATGATATGCTGAATACAGTAAAATGTTTTCCATTGAACTGAAGATTGATAGTAGAGGTTTATACATCGTTAAGAGTGAAATGTCTCCTGTAGATCATTTTATATAGTTTTTAATTTGTGAACACAGCTGCTACTGCTTTTTTCTCAATCTAACAGCGTTTTTTCTCAGATGAGTAAAGTTCAGGATAAACGTACAATAACCTACCTGTAACGGCCGAACCACCAAAGTTCGGTTGGAACAACGGACTGACGAACCCAAAATTTATTCGATTAGACCAGACCAAGTTCCTCTGTATAGCTCACAACGCGTCTTTGAGATACTCGTATTATATTATATCAAAACACAAACAATGTGCTGAATATAAACGGTTCTAATTAAGAAAACAGAACAAATTACATCAAAAATACAAAATACCTCAAACGGTACAGCCTGTGCTATACAGTCAGAAGTTTCTCTAACGCAAAGTAGTGCGCTAAACAATGAAAGCGACGGTTAATACTAAAGGGTTTGATACCTGAGAATCAATACAAATATTCCCAATAAGATGGGATCAAATATCTATCTGCAGGGATTGCAGCAGTTCTCCCAAGCAGACAGTCAGAAGGTTAACAGTCACAAACTAAACCACGCCGTGACCTTGAGCTTAGTCAAACACAACCTTACTGTCAATGATCCGGCAACATGCAATAGAAAATTAGGTAACAAAAATAAGTCTTTAATCAAAATCACATAATAAAGGCTCAAAAGGAGAAGACTGAAGAACAAAAGACATGGTTAAACGAGATCGAAAGAAAGGTTGGAATACACAAAAGGGAGAAGGAACAAATAAATGGAAATACTGTTCAACAAAGAAGCTGCAGAGGGATTTTCACTGTTCTCTTTCCGTTACACTACCCATATATAATCTGAAAAATATAGGTAATAACAACTATAGTTTCAAGTTCTATGTATCAGTGACATTTGTTATTCCGATGTTCCGGTTTAAATGTGTTTTAAGCATATTTGATCACAATGTTTATCTGATGTTTTGAAAGCTCCTCAGACATTGAGGAGATCAGTTCCACTTCATCTCTCTGCTCATACGTTCACTCAGAGGTGCGAGATGTGTGATGCATAGGTGAAATGAAGTGGGGATAATAATTTACTAACCCGAAGAATGATGGCAGGAAGTTAAGATCAAATAGCGGTGGCATTAACTCTATGGCTTCAGTGGTTTTGGGATCATAGCGTCTTCTGTGGCAACTAGAAATAAATCCCAAAAATCACATTTCTCTTGTCTTAGTTTGAAACCACCATCTTTAACGCGCGAATTACCATATTTAGACGGACAGTTAGTTGCGACGAAAGTAATAATATCGTACATGTAAGCCAAAGTGTCATAAACGTCTGTAGATGTCGCTTACGTTATTTGTTTGGATATAAGTGGAGGTGGATTAACTCAAATTGTAAGCAAGTTTAGTGATAGAGATCTCGATATGCATTAGTTGCAAATAATTCTTTATGTGCTCCATCAACTTTTATTTTCAGATGCCAATCAGTTAGCTCAATCCTTGCAAAAGGTTTGCTTCTATTCAAAACATCATCTGTGTGGTAATTGAGTAATGGCGGATTTCTATAGAACCATTTATTCTTGACAAAAAATCAGTAAGTAATTGTACTGGGCAGTTTATCGTTTATAGCTGCATCAAATGCTAGTCATCAGGGATGGTTAACTGATT